AATATGCCAGCGTAACTTGTCTATCTCTTCTTCCAGCTCCACAATCTTCTTGTCAGTCCTCAGGGTGCGTGCGGTGTATGTTGCCAGGTCGAGTCGTCGTAGGTGGCAACCGAACCTCCACCGGAGATTCTTAGCACCCCCTGCCCCGCCGTTACCATGGTCGCCACCGTAGCCAGGAATAGCGGGGCCGCCGGGGACTGGGGGCCGTCTCTTCGTAACTTTCATCATGGTTGGCAATCGCAGTTTTTTTATTGTATTTTTGCCGTTACCAGGAAGATGCTGCTGCCCATCTCCTGCCTGTATCCCTTTGTCGCCTTTTACGACACCCACGGGAAGATATGGGGTAGTGGATATTCTTAACCGCCACTACAGCTATGAATGATATGATATAATAAATAAGTTCGCTGAACAAAAGGCAAGAAAAGTGTATGTTTCATTTGAATTGTTTGGCTTGTTTCATTTCTAGGAGTATTAATTGTAAGTAATACCTTACAGTGCCTTGTAGTGACAGTTAAGAATATCTACTATCCCATATCTTCCCGTGGGTCGTAAGAGGTGACAGTGGGAAACAGGCGGGGATAAGCAGCAGCATCTTCCTGATAACAGCATCAGAACAATAAAAAAACTGTGGTTGCCAACCCACTTCTTAACTATGGCAAATTCTTGGCTACGGTGGCGGCCATGGTAACGACGGTGCAAGGGGTGCTAAGAATCGCCGGTGGAGGTTCGGTTGCCACCTAAGACGACTCGACCTGGCAACATAAAACGCACGCACCCTGAGGTCTGATGAGAAGACCTTGGAGCTGGAAGAAGAGATAGACAAGTTGCGCTCAGATATTACAGGATTATTATTATCTGAGGTCTGAAGAGGGGGGAGTATACGGTGATCCTCGAATCTGACTGCTTGTTCTATCACCGAACTTCTGTCCCAAGGAGGTGACGGATTTATCTTCCACAAGTCTCTCGTTAATAACGTTGTAAAGATTGTGAGTGTGTCGACGAGGGTGCTGGATGTTTACGCACCAACCTCTGCACATCCCGATGAGGAGGTGGAGGAAATGTTTGAGGATATCTCTTAAAGCCATGCATTCCTCAAAAATCTACTATACGGTGTTAATGCAAAACAAGGCAGGAGAGAAAGGTAGTGAAATTTGGAATAGGGCAACGGAACCCAAGAGGCCAGCTGCTGGCCGATTTCATGAAGAAAGAGGGACTCTTTATGATGATCTCTTTCTTCCAGAAACGGCTCCACTGGAAGTGGACCTGCTCGAGTCCCGACGGTTCGACAAAAAATGAGTTTGACTTTGACTTCATTATGACGGCAACTGCTCAGTGATGTCTCAGTGATCGTGAGGGTGAAAACTGGTAGCGATCACCGAATGGTTAGAGACACACTGAACCTAAACGTTAAGTTGAAGAGGTCACGTCTAATGAAGTCAACGCTGTGCCCCCCTCATGCTCTAATCCAGTCTCGAAAACTTTCAGCTCTAATTACAAAACCGTTTTAGTGCCTAGAACACTGCAACGCAGTGGACGATATGAATAACAAGCTCGTGGAAACTGTCAATGCGTTCGGAGCTAAGTTCTACAAGACCCGTCGCTGAGGAACACAAAAACTCCGATCTCACTCTTCGTCTCATGGCTGTTAGACGGGAAATGAAACTGTAGACTTCAACAGATACAATCAACTGAACTGACAGATCTCCAAATGCATGCGGCGGGACTCTGAGGTGGAGTCTGAGCAAGATGAGAATGGCTCTCCAGCACTTTGAAAACGGCAATGCCCCAGGCGAGGATGGAATTACAACGGGGCTTCTGAAAGCGGGTGGAAAACCGTTACTTGAAGTCCTGCAGAAGCTCTTTAATTCCGTTCTTCACGGTGGCACTACTCCGGAGGTGTGGGCCAGAAGTGCGGTGCTCTTGTTCTTCAAGAAAGGCGACAACGCTTTTTTAAAGAACTGCAGACCGATTTCCCTGCTGAGCCGCGACTATATGCTGTTTTCGAGAGTCATTACGAATATTCTCGCACGTAGTCTAAGATTTCTAGCCTCCCGAACAACCCTCTTTCCGAAAAGGCTTTTGTGTCATAAACCACATACATACCCTTCGGCTAATTGAACAGAAACCCGAAGAGTAAAATCCTCCACTTTTCCTTGCTTATATGGACTATAAAAATACCTTTGATTCCGTCGAAATTTGGGCGGTGCTACAGTTCCTTCAGCGGTGCCAAGTTGACTGTCGGTGCTGAAGTGTTCGTATAGTAAGGCTACGATGGCTATCCGAGTACAGAACCAGTGTACGAAACCTATCCAACTGCAGAGAGGTGTAAGATAAAGCTACATTGCTGAACTGGAAAGGGTAGGTAGAAATTAACATTAAAAGTGAGTACATAATTCATCTTCGATTTGCCGACGACATAGTCCTTATGGCAGAATCGCTGGAGGACCTAAGCACTATGCTCAATAGCCTCAATAAGATACTATGAGGATATCTATCCGCCGTATACCCAGCGTGACCGACATAAAAAAGGTAACGGTAGGCGAAGTGTAGGGTTAACCCCGCCCCCTCACCCCACTAGATGGAGTGAAGACCTTCTAAGACATGCAGGAAGTCGATGAATGCAGGCGTGAGCCACCGACCGTGCTTTGTGGCATTCCTTGGGGAGGCTTATGTTCAGCAGTGGACTTGTGAAGGGTGGTGATGATAATGATGATGATGAATAGCTTATACTCAATATCATGTCATGTCATGTCATCATAAAGTGATGATCTATGGATCTGAGACGTGGTCCTTCACAGCTGGCCGTATGAGAAAGCACAAAGTCCCTCAGCGAGCTATGGAGAGGGCTATGCTCGGCGTTTCTCGGATGCTGAAGTGGCAATGGGCTGGCCATATAGCTCGAAAAACCGACAACCGATGGTGAAGAAAGGTTTTCGAATGGCAGCCTCGTACCGGCAGGCGAAGTGTAGGGCGTCCCCCTACTAGATGGAGTGACGACCTGGTAAGACATACTCAATATATAATTATTTAAATCCATGCGAGCGTTTTTGTTCCTTTTGTGAAAAATCTTTACCCTTCATTTGGGCCCCCAAATAAGTTTTGATATAGGGCCCGGCTAAGGCACGCTACGCCATTGCACCTGATGGTAAATGGATGGCCTATGGACATCTACGTCTGTCCTCAATTAAGAATCAAAATACTTGCGTTGTCACCCCTGAGGACTAAGATGGAATACCTCGTATGCAGTAAAATAATCTCCGGTTCTTCTACACTCACCTCGCTAAACACATCAACATTAAGCTGTTATTCTACGCTCGTATTCTGTTTGTGTGGTCCTTCCCCGGTTGAGTCAACCTGTTCGTGCTACAACCATAACATAGCTGCAACATGGATCTACTACGCATGTATGGTATGTTATACCTTATTCTATTAAAAAACAACATTGAATTGGTTTAACAGAATTGGTATACAAAGGTGAATAAAATTTGGTAAATAATAGTATTAATATTATAGCGTAATCAAAGTTTATTTTTATATTGTTGTGAAAAGAATTAAAGTTTAGGTAACAAAATATCGAATGATAACCATTGTGTGCTACATATTAAAATTTTGCAGGGTGATTATTATTTCTATAGATAACTTATCCGTATCGTATCTTTGTTATTTAGCACATTATTTAATTCAAACAACTTTGGACTTTATTATAGGCCTGATATGTTCCAATGTAGAGAATGAGAAAAGCAATTATATCTAACTACCAAGTCTCTTTGCAGCGCAGTTGTAGTCCAGGTCTTGCAAGGGTTTTTTTATAGCATAGGGTGACAAACGAGCTCACAGTCCACGTGATGGTAAGTGGTTACTGCGGCCAATAGACATCTACATTTATCCTCAACAAAGAATCAAAATGCAGATGCGTCGTCATCCGTGAGGTCTAAGATGAAATGCCTCTTTTCCTGTAAAATGGGTCTCCGGTTCTCTACACTCACCATACGAAACACAGCAGTATCAAGCTGCTATATTACGCTGGTATTCAACAACAAGGGTGTAGCTTATCTCGCGATATCATTCTTGGAGTTCTGCAAAGTCGTTTTCGAGGTGGAACGCCTTACGCCTTGGGTAGTGGTTTAGGCTATATGACACAATGTCTGACCCGGTCTAATTTTAATTTCGCTAATGCTTCATTTGACTACCTTGTTGGTCTAGTGTTCCAAACATGAGATCCCGGGTTCTTATCTTGGGTTTTATCTTATATCTCGGCTAAAATCAGTTAATAGACAAGACATAGCCAATAGACATGAATTTATTTAGAAAATTACACTCGTAGAGTTTTGATACAGAAAATGTAAACGGTAAATAAAAACTTTAAAGAAAAAAAAATAAGAGAAAACAGTCATAGAATAATCTGGTTGCATGAGTGACGTGATGTAGAAAAATGGGTAATGGGTTTTTCTGTAAAGAAATGCTCAGTAGCAGCCCAGTGGAGTCAGGGAATTGGAGGTGTTTTCACCCTTGTGCTCCGTAAAGCCGTTCCACCGGACCATGAGAGTGAGGTAATAGAGAGTGTATCTGTGCTTGCGCATACACTCGGGCACTATGATCCTGTCCTGCTAGTCTTTGTTTAGACTAGCTGCCTTGACCGAAATTCGGTCTGGAGGGCATTATTATTGTTAGATTTTTCCAGCGACTATCTCGGAAAGGGTATTGAGAGTAGAAGGGCTCCTTTTCTGACTTCCAAGTATGTATCATTCTCTTATCTATTCCCTGGCACTAAACAGCAGTGCGCCAATTGTTGTATTTCACTTTAAAGGAGAAGTGTATTTACACACACTTCTTCGAACTATAAATCAAATTGTAATCTTAGGATTAACTTGTTATTTCTCCTGATAAGTGAATTGTATTCATTTTGAGGAATAAATGTCTTAAACCGTGAGTTATCAGCTAAAAAATATAATAATAAAACACATTCCAATAAAATAATTTATATATTTAGTAAAGCTAAATCAATACAAAGCATTGTTAACATACGATCCTGATTTCATAAAATAGTTTTTAAAATTTTGGTCATCTTTGACGAATTCGAAATTTTCCACGCTTGAATTCGATAGGTGCCAGGCGACGATCAATTTGCAAGAACCGAGTACTCCGTCACAGTACTCTAGCGGTAATTCTGAAGCCACTATTTCTCTTTGTGGGTAGTAGGTATAATCCGACATCACCCTTAGACCACATTCGAAGAGATTATCTGCGAAACTCCTTATTTTCCCTAAAAGTATTTATTTTTTCAAAAATCGAACAGTACCTACTCGTATATAGCCAGTATTACGTTATAAGCTAAGGATGTATGTGTGGGAATGGATTTATTTTCTTTACCGGATATTATTAGATGGAAAAGATTCAAAACTTTTATTTGCATCACAACACAGTAAGTCCAGGTGTTCATCAGTGCAGTTAGCAGTGCGTCCGCTTCTGTGTTCCGGTCTGAATCAGAAAAGTATTCCGTTTTGGGTCTCGGAGATGATAACGCATCTTTAGCCCTCTGAATTTAGTTGCAGGAGTTACAGCAGCCACTTAACATCAGGTGAACTGTCAGTTCGTTTGTCATGTTAACTTTTAGCCGACTTCAAAAAAGAAGGAAGTTTTCAATTCGACTGTATGTTCCTAATTTATTTACGTTACGCGATATCTTCGTAAAATGTGTACTGATTTTGCTGATTCCCTTTTTAAATAGGATATTCTTCAGGAGTGTAATTATTCTGTATACTATGTCTTAGCACTGACTTCTGAAGCTTTTTATTTAGACGTGGTAGTGCCATGCTGCAGCTATATTAGTAGTATAGTTGTAGCACGAATGGATCGGCTCGACCGGGAAAGGATCACGCTCTTACATAATAACAGCGTAAAATATCAGCTTAACACTGCTGTGTTTCGTATGGTCAGTGTAGAGAACCGGAGACCCTTTTTACTAGAAAAGAGGCATTCCATCTTAGTCCTCACGGGTGACAACGCATCTGCATTTTGATTCTTTATTGAGGATAGATGTGGATGTCTATGGGTCACAGCAACCACTTACCATCAGGTGGACTGTGTACTCGTTTGTCACCCTATCCTATAAAAAATATATTTTATTATTTTTACATATTTCAAGTCTGTCTATTTCATGAGTCGCGGCGGGGAATAAACTGTGGTTTCTATTGTCGTATACTATATACTATAATAATAGACTTAAATACTATTATTGCAAATTTTGTTATTAGATATTTTGTCCCTGTTAGTCAGCGACTCATAGGTCCCATATTTATGTGGAACTTAAAATAATAAAGAAGGCACATTCTCTTTTCTTAACTGGTAACTTACGTTGGAATTGTGTGATTATGTAGCCTGTAGGCGATAAGCTAACTACTTAACACTTCTCTAACAATTTTCCATGTAAGCCCATATTATTTCATTAAACGTGATCGGAGTAAATCACTACTCTTTGAATTCTGCCTTGCTCTAAATGCTAATATTTCAATCATATGATAAAAGTTATTCGTAAAATAAAATGTAATATAAACAATTAATAAAATACGGTACACAATAATTTAAAATATTATATAAACAATGTATGAATAAAATTGTTTAATTGTTTTACTTTTATATTAAGTCAGATTAGGTCAGATTACATTTTATTTGACAGATAGCTTTCATCTGATAACTGAAAAACTGACCCTTAAACATTGAGTTATATGTACTACGTACTAGAGAAGCCATTCCGAACATTGACTATGTTCAACTGAACTGTAGTGCAGTCCATACAAACTAAATATTGCGTAAATTGAAGATTTGTGAATTCCATAAAATAATTATTATTACATTTTATTTAGAAATATGTTTGTTTAGATTAAATTAAGATATTTTATATTAAATTCTTATATTTATTTTATATTAATATCTTATTTTATATCAAATTAAAGTCTTCGCTCGTGCGCGACTACTACTACCGCGCATGCGCGAAGACATAGAGTAGGACACAATTTTTGTTTGGAATGGCTTCTCTAGTACGTAGTACATATAACTCAATGCCCTTAAATCATAAATATTTATTTAATGAACAAAAATAAACGTACCGTTTTTACATGTTGCGTTTACAAGTTTTTTGGTGACGCTGAGGTACTGTTCCAAGGTATTATTGAATGTTGGTTTGAGGCATAAATATTCGTCTTCAGTATATTCTGTTTTCCTTTCTGTTGGGATCGTCTCATATTTGATTATTGAATTAAATACGCATGGATCTGGTTTCGATGTAACCTGTTTGGAAAAAAAATATAAATAAATAGGCTCTTAAGAAAACTAAAACTTTTATTCATTCAAGTTACTTAATTTTACAATTTTGAGGGGTTTCAGGAATATCACATGTTCAAGATAGTAACTACATCGTTTTTTAAATTGGTACATTAAAATTCTTACACTCTATTTTACCCTTCCTTATGGATGAAAGTTTTTCTTTAAATTTTATGAGATCACCTTTGAAAATCATCCTTAGCCTATTTAAAAAAAACAACAAAGTATATAACCTATTCAATACCGAAAGAATCACTTAGGCTGTTCCGCCATCTTCCAAATCAGTGAACATAGATAAAACGAGCCTTACAGTGGTCGCATAAGATGTGTAACATCTCATCATTCTCATCTTCAATAAGTTGTATTTCGTAAAAAGTCAAAGTATAGTGTCACAGTCTAACTACTACCATATTAACTGTAATAAATCTAATATCTATCGGTCATCGAAGCTGTCTAGACCACTAGACTCTAGACGAGGCAATCGTGCGGTGCGGTGAGGGGCGAGACACGGTGGAGCGCGCCCGAACATTCTCCTCATTTAAAGATAAGGAATTAGTTTCATCAGTTGCCACATACATTAATTTGTTTAAACGTGAAATAAATTAAAATCAGTTTTTTATTTTTTTTTATTATTTCCCACTTCGCAACCCCAGCATATTATTGTTTATATCGGTTTTTCCAACAATATCAAACGCGATGACTGACTATATGTCCTTCTTAGGTTGTGGTAGTGTTGCCAGCGAAACCCATTTACGCTCTAGGGGTCTAGGGCGCAAGTAGTAGTAGGAGCGTTTTTAATGTTAACGTATCGAGTCAGAAAGTTTTATATTATGTTACTAATTACGATGTAGAGAGATTTGTTGGATATTATGTTTATATTAATTAAAGAATTAGACAATTTAACTAAACTTTGCTCTTGTATTTCCTATTGTAAATTAATTAGACTGACTAAAGTAAGTTTGAAGAGAATTTTGAATGTAGTTAGAATTTTTGTATAATTAGGGAAGTTGAAAATGAGAATTTTTATTTGTAGTGACATCTCAATAATTTTAGTCTCAAAAGATAGTTTTAGATCTAAAACTAATATTCCAATTAGAATGATGAAAATCAGATAACGCGTTTAGAAGATATGAGCAAAATTGTAGAAGAGAAATATGAAAACCTGTTATTTAGAGTTTATGTTCTAGAAAATTTTTAGTTATTGTAGTTAAAAATTATTGTTTTATATAAGAAAGGGGGATATACATAATGGAATACTTGTGATAAATATAATAAAGTTTAGTTTTAATAAAAATTAAAAATATCAGTTGAGTAACGACAGAAATTAACCTCAAAATTTAAAAAAGCTAAATACGAATAATTATTCATTATTACTCACTTGCATTTTTTATCAACGATCTGCCAATTTTTCGGACACTTATTATTAACAGTAAATACATTTATTAATATAGTTTACACATATAAATTAGTTTATATAACAGCACATTTTACTAACAGCGCGCGCGCTTATTTGTCAAATCAAATAGCGCGCGCTCATTGGTCAAATCAAATAGCGCGCGCTTCCCCGGCTTCCTGTTGAATAATTCCGTCCCTTTTCACGAAATCACTCCTACATATTGAGTTTAGACTCTACATTTTGACATTAGAACCAAAGCTCTTATTTTATTCCAGCATGGACTGGAGAGATCCATCGGTATTCAAAGCGTGTTCTTTAATTAACAAAAAACATATAATGTTTGGCAAGCAGGTTAGGGACAAAATTGTAAAGCTTCAATATCAAAAATGTTTTATTCATACTTTACGTGTATTAAATAACAGAATCTTGTAGAAAATAAATGTTTAGAGAAGAGGTAAAAAGATTCTTGTGGTTATTATCTAAAAAAATACAGTCGAAATGAAAACCTCCGTTTTATGGAAGTCGGTTGAAACAAATACTTACTTCTTGGCCAATGCACCTTGGCGTAGAGTATACGTTACTAAAAATTGTAGCGGTCATATCTGGCACTGTTGTGGGGGTCTGTATCATTCCATTACAGAGAGTCCAAAATCCATCGCGTATGATATACTTCCGGGGTTGTCCTTTAAGTGTGGACACCGTCAATATCGTTACTCCTAACCTGTTATTTATTAATACAGTATATAACGAAATTCGGTTATTAAGACTTTTTAGTTCTGAATGTATCTACTTATATTTTTTATAAAACTGAAGTGACAAACGAACTTACAGCCCACCTGACGGTAAGTTTATAAACAAAACAAAAAAGGCTGCAGGTGCGTTGTCACCTCCAAGGACCAAGATAGGAGCTAATCTAACATCTCGACTTAAATCGACCTTCTGTCATTGAGTTTCCTAATAATTTAAATATTTTACACCATATAATGTTTCTGAACGTGCCAGGGTTACCACCTCACATCCTGACATAGCTATTTTTAATTAAAAACTATTTTTTTCCTATACTCAGTGGCGTAGCTATGTAACCAAGGGCCCGGGGCAAAAATTAAAATGGGGAACTATTAAAACTAAACTTAATACTTTAAAGGTGCAAAACTACTTCATCATCAGCTCCTTGTCGCCCACTGCAGGGCATAATAAAACAAAGCTACTTACTACTAAGTATTATGTGTAACGCATAAACAATGACTAAGTAGATTACAGTTAATAATATAGAATACAACATAACAGTGGAAGAGCCACACGGCAGCTTTTGATGTCGCACGGGTGGTCCAGAGCCAGACTAGATGGAGTGACGACCTGGTAAGACATGAAATGAAGAGCTGTAATGAATTAATGTAATGAATGGGTGGACCAGCTTGAACCTTGAACCTTGAAGTAGAAGACTAATACTGCTCGTGGCAAGTAGAGCAATAAGACAAAGGTGACCCCTGCCACGCTATCCATGAATTTCTGCAACATTAGGAGGTTTTGTTCGAACGTTAACAAAGTCCATTAGGTACCATCTGAAGACGGCGTAGCCGACCTTGCTCTTTCTAACCGAGGCGCAGGTGTTCTCTCCGGTCGATACTTCTCTCCTATCTGGGGTACAAATTAGAACACCTTTGTACCTCGGGCTGGAGTTTGCGTATACGTCAGAGAGGACATCAGTTCTCGACGTCTCGGCAGTCTGGAAGGTCAGCGAGGACCATCCTCGCGTCTACGGGTGCCTCTATAAGTAATGACGACACAGACCAACTCATCGACCACGTCCAAATCGCTGCACACTCCGTGCTGCAATAGGTCCAATCTGCAGAGATCGTGATCCTTGGTGATTTTAGCGGCCACCACGCTGAATGGCTTGGTTCTCGTTTAACCGATCATGCGGGAAGATCTGTTTATGACTTTGCCTTGGCATATGGTTTGATAGAAGTGGTTACTTCACCTACAAGGATTCTAGATGTGTAGGATCGTGCACCTTGCCTGTTGGACCTTCTGCTGACCTCTCATCCGGACGAATATCAAGTCTCTGTCGACGCCCCTCTTGCCACATTAGACTGATACATTAGATCCGGACTATGGTGCCCCCCACAGTCCCATCGCGGTTGCGTTCGCAGATCGCCGCCGTGTTTGGCACTATAGGTTGGCCGATTGGACAGGATGTGGCCTCATTTTGCATCCTTTCCTTAAGGACAGGGACGGGTATGCTTCTCACCGGATTATCCCAACGTGATTCTGTCGTTGATGTGGTACTTGAGGGAATGGGACTCTTTATTATATCATCTGTGGTGCCTTTGGTTGCTCCTGTAAAATTACATTGCACTATAATAGGAGTGCTTCGTCAGCGCTGTTAAAAAGAAGTATAATTTCGCCTTCAGGTCGGTACGATACGGTTTACACAGCGCTCGATGCGCATAGCACTACTCTCCCTAGACGTCAAATCGAGTGGGTCTGATGGGGTTCCTCCCATTGTGCTGAAGACGTGTGCTTCCTAGTTGGCACCGGTCGTAACGTGTCTTTTTTAAGACTCTTTCTCTCGAGGTGTAGTCCCGAACTCAAAGAAAACAGCATTTAGAAGTAGGTCCCTAAAAATAACCGAAAATTGAGCGCTCAGACCTATCCAACTTGTTCTCGAAAATAATGAAAACCATTGTGAACTGCCATCTCATGAGGATCAGGATCACTAACTGAAAAGTGACTGTCAGTACGATTTCTGTCGGGCTTGCTCAGCTGATGACCTTCTGGCTTACCTGACTCATAAATCGGCGGAGGCAGGGGCGGGGAGACGCTGGTTGTTAGTTTGGACATAGCGAAGGCCTTCGATCGGGTTTGGCACAAAACGCTTCTTTCGAAGCTCCCTTCCTATGTGGAGAATTTGTGTAACTGGATCAGCAGTTTTCTTGCAGATTGGAGCAACAAAGTCGTAGTAGAAGGAGCACGCTCCATTTACAAGCCTATACATATAACATATGTTAGTGTTCCACAAGGCTACGTGCTATTACCTACGCTGTTTCTTCTGCTTATCAATAATATGTTGCAAGCCAGTAACGTGCACTGGTTATGCTTTACACACCGGATATGCCTTGCACTGAAACAAACTTGTGTCTGAAGTCGAGCCTTTGTCGGATAAGGTCTCCGATTGTGGTGACTAAATCTAATTAAGTACAATGTCCAGAAGACATAAATTTGCGCGTTTACAACTAAAAAGAACCCCTTTGTCGTAACTCCTCAATTTCAGGGCACTCCCTTTGTACCTCAGCCAGTATCGGAATCTTTGACATTGACATATCGAATAAGGTGCAGTTTCGTAAGACTGAATTGTCCTCTAAAATGCTTGGCGTGCTCAGCAGAGCGGAACAGTATTTGATGCCGGCATACTGTTTCGCAGGGGCAGGTTCGATCTAACATGGAGTACTGTTCTAATTCATTCGCTGGAGCTTTCTAGTACCAACTCCTTCCACTTGATCGCATCCAGTGCAGAGCAGCTCGAATCGTCGACGACTGCCAAAGATGAAAGACGAGACGAAGAGATGTTGCATCACTTTGCGTTTTTCTATCGCATTTACCACGGGGAGTGTTCAGAGGAATTGTTCGGATTAATTCCAGCCACAAAATGAACCGATACGACTTAGGGACCTTCAAGAAACGAGCTTCCTCCTTTTTAAAAAGCCGGCAACTCCCCTGGTGTTGTATTTGTTAATAGGCGGTGGTCGACACTTGCCATCAGGTGAGCCGCATGCTCGTTTGTCCCCCTCTTCTATATGAAAAGACAATTAAACGAAGTAGACAATAACCTTTATGTTATATTATGTTCTAGAAGTGGGAGTAATTTTTGTGATTTCAGTTCGAGCCGTTCGTGGTCAGGAGCCAATAAATTAAAACTTGAAAATTCTTTATACAACTAGGATAGTACATAATTTTTCAATCGTGTTTCTTGGAGGCCAAGGGGCCCGTTTAGCTTGGGGGCCCCGGGGGCACTGCTCCGCCTAGCACCTGGGTAGCTACGCCACTGCGTATACTTACTGTTTATTGTTACGTATGCAAAACATAGCATCTAACAAAAGTACGATCACATGAGGTAAAATCTAAATAAAAAAACCAAAATATGGTCGCCTACCTGTTTTCGGCAACATTGAAACATTTCTAGGCTATTTACATAGTTTACTATTGGTTAATGCTAAATATTTAAAGAAAATCCATAAAAGTAATTACCAAAAAGAAATATAATTAAATTAAATAAAAGAAAAAATAGCTGTACCGGGATATGTGGTGGCAGCCCTAGCACGTATTTTTTTATTTATTCATGTTCATATATCATATATATGTATCATTAAAAATTCTATAAAGTATATATTTCATTAGGAAATTCGTTCACGGAAAGTCTCTTGGAAAGAAAAGATCTTGTATTAAAGATTTCTGACAAAACAAATTTTGTTTGTTGGTTCGTTTTCTATACGTTTCTACACCATTTATACTCTCAAACATAGGCCTCCCTAAGGAATGCAACAAAACACGCTACAGAGGCACTTGCATCCATCTACTTCTTGCATCTCTTACCAGATCGTCACTCAATCTAAGGGGGTCAAAGGGGGGGGGGGGGGGGCTACAATACGCTTACCGGTACAAGGCTGCTACTCGATAATTATTATAACTTTTAACAAAAAAGTAAAAACCGCTTTCGAATTGATAAATTTGAAGTTATTTATTAGCTGCCCTTAGGTGTGGAATTTTTTAACCCTTGAAGTGTAATCTATTTAATAAAAAAAGAATCATCAAAATTGGTTCACAATCTGCGAAGATATCGCGTAACTTACATACAAAAAATTTACACTTGAATTGCGAAACAACTCCTTTTTGAAGTCAGTAAAAACTTGTGTTCCCCATCGGTTGTTGTTGTCATGTAAAGTTACCAATAATGCGAAAAAAGTAGAAAAAGGAGAAGAGCAGATTATTACCTATTTTGTATTTGCCTGATACTAGAACGTTACTATATGCATCAAATATTATCGGAGTAAATGATCAGACTCACTTCCCATTAACGATGGCTTCTTTAAGAGTTTTTTCTCGTTCTTGAACTGTGATTATATGCGACTTTAAGATGGCTGCTAATTCTTTCGCGTTCTGTAGAGTCGTTTCTAGTTTACTCTTTAGGCTTGAAGTCGGCATTACACCGCTTGTTAGCGTTTCATTGGGCGTAAAACGTAATAATAAATTATTCTTCGGCACGTCTACTGTGCTACTAGGTTCCGAAGGTTCAGATGTTCCAGGAACAGGTGGGATTATTTTTAGTTTTTCATTATTAAACATTTTCCAGTCCATGTTGTGCATCCTCCTTGCAGAAGTATCTTTACTAGAAAAGTTATATTATTTAAAATTGAAAGTTTCGCAATAAGGTATTTTATTATATTATATATAATATATCAAATAAATATTATTAGTCTAATACCTACATCATAAAAATTGTTTATCTATATTAATATATACTAAAATACCATAACCAAACAACTATTTAAAATAATTAACTTTTGTCCTTTTCCTTGTCATCCTTTTGATTTTGTCTGTAGTCACATTACATAATTATCTATACAAATAAATAAAATTGAAGTGTCTGTTTGTAATATCAAAATTACAGCTTTTTACTAAATGCATATGAAAGTATATACGGTACTAATAACAAAAATACAATTTTTAAAGTTTTTGTCTGTCTGTCTGTCCGTCTGTCTGTCTGTCTGTTTGTTCCGGCTAATCTCCGAAACGGCTGGACCGATTTTGACGGGATTTTTACTGGCAGATAGCCGATGTCACAAGGAGTAACTTAGGCTACTTTTATTTTAGAAAAATAATTAGGGTACTGCGCAAAAAAATTAAAACCCCAAATAACACGCGGGCGAAGTCGCGGGGAACAGCTAGTAAAAAATATGTTATATACGTAAGCTGTATAATGTTACCCTTGATAAGGCATCGTACGTTTTACCTCTGTGTGTGTCACGTAAATGTTTTATCTATGAATGTAAAACCTCTAAGAATATTAGTTAATAAATGGCTTTCATTCGCTAATCACGATTTTTTTTCTATGCATAAAAACTGTAAGAGTAACAGGCATACAAATAAATTAAATTGAAGTGTCTGTTTGTAATGTCAAAATAACAGCTTTTCAATAAATGAATATGCAAGTTTAAACGTTACTCGTACGTGGTAGAGCCATGCTGCAGCTATATTAGTAGTATATTTGTAGCACGAATGGGTCGGTTTGACCGGGGAAGGACTACGCTCTCACAGAATAACAGCGTAAAATGGCAGCTTGACACTGCTGTGTTTCGTATGGTGAGTGTAGAGAATCGGAGACCCATTTTAATGGAAAAGAGGCATTCCATCTTAATTCTCACGGGTGACGGCGCATCTGCATTTTGTTTCTTTATTGAGGATAAATGTAGATGTCTATATGTCACAGCAACCACTTACCATCGGATGGACTGTGTGCTCGTTTGTTACCCTATCCTATAAAAAAACTTATGACAAAAAACACTTTTTAAAATTTTTGTCTGTCTGTTGGTCTGTGTCTCTGTTTGTTGCGGCTAAACTCCAAAAAGGCAGGACCGATTTTGACGGGACTTTCACTGACAGACGGCTGATGTTATAAGGAGTAACTTAGGATAATTTTATAGTACTACATACATCTATCCTCGCTGACGAATCAAAATGCAGATGCACCCGTGAGGACTAAGATGGAATGCCTCGTTTCAAGTAAAAAGGGGCTCCGATTCTCTACACTCATCATACGAAACACAGCAGCGTTCAGCTGTAATTTTACGCTCGTATTCTGTGAGAGCGTGGTCCTTCCCCGATCGAGCCGACCCATTCGTGCTAAAACTATACCAGTAATATAGCTGCAGAATGTATCTACCACGTTTAAAAAGTTTGTTTACATATTCTATCACTTTCACACAATATCAAAAATATTAATAAATAATAAACTTACTATTGATCACGTATCGGAGCCAGCCATTCTGAAAGCTGAGAACTGAAAAATTAATCTTCTTTTTCTAACCAGGCCAGAAAAGTCCATTGATGGACGTGGACCTCTCTCGTTGTATAATTTTTTTTTAAATTTATTTATTAATGAATTTATGATACAGTGGTGTTACTTAATTCTAAACTCGCCAAACTTATGTACTACTAATTTGCCTGTGTCACGTTGGCAGGCGGACTGATGAACGCAGCACCAGACGTCTCGTAACTTCGACGCTGCTAGAGAGCACGATACACGCAGCGATAGAGTATCGCCGGTCTGATTATTTTACGTCAGGCGTAAACGAGATGGTTACACCCCCATCTATCGAAAGACATGAGTATTTCTAGGATTTCCCGTATACGTGTCTTAGGGCTATATTTCACCGGGACACCATGGCAGCGCAACCAGTCGCGCTATCGTGGTGTCCGTAAGCAACCGAACTAGACACCATACAGACACCAGAGTCGCCACTCCACACTGATACAGTATCAAAATGAACCTCGAAGAGATAGCACCACTGCTGTATGTACGTAGGAAAAGAGAGTTCAAGAGAAAAATAGTGGTGCGTTTTTTTATAGGATAGGGACAAACGAGCATAGTCCACCTGATGATAAGAGGTTGCTGTGACCCATAGACATCTACATTTATCCTCAATAAAGAATCAAATGCAGATGCGTTGTCACCCGTGAGGACTAAGATGGAATGCCTCTTTTCCTGTAAAATGGGTCTTCGGTTCTCTACACTCACCATACGAAACACAGCAGTGTCAAGCTGATATTTTACGCTGGTATTCTGTGAGAACGTGGTCCTTCCCCGGTTGAGCCGACCCATTCGTGGTACAACTATACTATTAATATAGCTGCAACATGGCTTTACCATGTTCAAAATCCTTTCATCCTTATTTAGCTGATCCTTGTAATAAAGGACAATTCTTCAACATATACGACGATCTAAGAAGATATCCGGATAGCTACAATACCCACGGGATGAAATACGGTGATGGATTCTTTACGTAGCCACCACACGCCACTAATTGGCTATCTATATTCTATATATCTATACAAATAAATAAAGTTGAAATGTTTGTTTGTAATGTAAAAATAACAGATGTTTCCTAAACGCATATGAAAGTACATACGGTACTTATAACAGAAAAACAATTTTTAAAATTTTTGTCTGTTTATCTGTCTGTTTGTTCCAGCTAATCTTCGAAATGGCTCGACCGATTTTGACGAAACTTTCACTGGCAGATAGCTGATGTTATAAAAAGTAATTAAGGCTACTTATACTTCGGAAAAAAGCTTTGGTTCCGCGAAAAAAAAACATGAGATCCAATCATAATAATTTCGACTAGGATGAAGTCTCGGGGAACAGCTATTATCAAATAAAAAATATTTTTAGGCCAGTAATGCTGGCTGTTACTGCCACTTTCACACACTGATATTATATAAAATCAATACTAAAATTGTTAAAACTATTCTTACCCAGTCACAGTAGCAAACATGGAAAATACAAGCGAACAAAATGATATTCATAGCTCCTTTTTATTTTTGCGTATTCCAACAACAGATTTGTAGAGCTCTTTTCTTGCACTGCAAATGTGTTCTCGTTTTCTCAAATGTTTAACAATTCTACGGCACGTTTAAACCTATTTTTAGTGTTCAACTCCATTGTTTCTACTTTCTGAACGATTGACGAATGAAAGAATAACAATTGAAGATAAAATTTAAGGTTGTCTTTAAAATTGATTATGTAGTTGATTTTTTTAAGTTGGAATAGTAAAGTAATATATAAAAAAAAAACAACATGCGTGAGTGTCGTGGAACACTCGGTTGGAACGAAGTTCCTTATTATTGATAAACGTATTATATTATTGATTAACAAATACAAATAAATGTATTATTAGCGTCTATTAAAATGAAGCGTCATTTAATATAAAATACACTATGATACAAGGGGTAGTGACGAAAAACTCTTACACTTTTTGTCGCCTAGCTCCCATCCGCCAAACCCGTACCGTTCGATAAGGAACTTCGTTCCAAAAACATGTATGGTACACATCATCATTATCACAACACCCATCACAAGTCCACTGCCGAATATTCTTTGGTTGAATATTAGACCATAAATTTTGACAAACTATGGTCTTAAGTCTACTCAAGACTTTAAGACTCCTACCGGCTAAAACCTCACAGTGGTCACCATCGGCGTATATGAGGAGTCCCGGGATCTCCGTTCGGAACGCAACCGCAGCTTTAATAAATCGAAGCGAGAGAGAAACCCTCTCTCGCTCGCTTTATTAAAGTACGTCCCGGGTGCAGTCATTACTGCCCCTAGCACCCTCGCAGTGCTATCGCGTGCTCGGGACGTTCGGGGCCCTCGCCCCGAGCGCTCATGCCCTCGGAGGCCACATTTCTGGTAGGGGAGCACCATCATCAAGGAGAGTGCCGTGACAAACGACTTGGCGACTTCATCTCCGACGTCACCAAAGCATCATCGTTCTGTATAGTGTGGCGCCCAACATCACGCCTGTAGCACGAGACTGCCATTTAAGAAAATGTATGTTTTTGTAAGCCGCTAATCAAACAGGGGAGAGAATAGTGAATATAGTCCTGTGGTTGTTGGTAAGAGGCGACAGATGGAAACTGAAACAGGTTATGAGAATCTTTCTGATAACAAATCTATACATCTATACAAATAAATAAAATTGATGTGTCTGTTTGTAATGTCGAAATAACAGCTTTTTACTATACGTATATGAAAGTATATAGTATATACGGTATTTATAACAAAAATACGATTTTTTTAATTTTTTGTCTTTCTGTCTGTCTGTCTGTTTGTTCCGGCTAATCTCCGAAATGGCTGGACCGATTTTGAGCGAACTTTCACTGGCAGATAGCTGATGTTATAAGAAATAACTTTATTTTAGAAAAGAATTAGGGTTCCGCACAAAAAATTAAAACCCATGAAATCCAATCGTAATAAATTACGCACGGGCGAAGTCGCGGGGTACAGCTAGTAAATAATAATAACAAAACTACGATTAACAATTCTCCTGCCAAGCACGGCAGCGATGGCAAATGGGAGATATTTTTTCTATGACAATCTTTGTTCAGCAGTGGACTCTTGATAGACTGTTATGTTGGACTAGCTGTTCCCCGCGACTTCACCCGCTTGTAATTTAGTGTTTTAATTACGTTGCGCGGAACCCTAATTATTTTTCTAAAATATAAGTAGCCTAAATTACTCCTTATAACATCAGCTATCTGCCAGTGAAAGTCCGGTCAAAATCGGTCCAGCCGTTTCGGGGATTAGCCGGAACAAACAGACAGACACACAGACAAAAATTTTAAAAATTGTGTTTTTTGTCATAGGTACCGTATATACTTTTATATGCAATTAGTAAAAAGCTGTTATTTTGATATTACAAATAGACATTTTAACTTTATTTATTTGTATAGATATTGATAACACCGAAAAGAGCTTTCATAAAAAGCAACTCGTCGCGATTATATTTTTCTGAGTAAGTTATGAGAATAGGGTTGACCTATTTACGGAAAAACGATAAGTCGTTAACCTGGCATAATATTCACCTATAATAATTTATTTCTGCACAAAAGCCATCGTATATAATAGCAGGGGTGACCGAATTTTTTAGGGCTGAGATTCGCTTAAAATTTTCTCAACCTTTCGAGATCGACTTAATGTATAGGTTTGGTCATTGACTATATTAATAGCGTATGAAATGATTGGTTTTGTAGCATAAATAAAACAGTCATCAAAACACAGAAAAACAAAAGAGCTGTTTTCGAGACACAAAACGGATCGTCTCGCACACAAAATTGACGATTTCTAGTCTCCCAAACAAGCCGGTCTCCGAAAAGGCTTTAGTACCTTCGAAAAATTGTACAGAAGACCGAAGAGTACGAATCCCTATGCTTAATAAAAATAATACTATCTTCCTGTGCATAATAGAAAAACACACTTCACCAGTGCTAGGTCGACTTTCGATATATCGAAGTGCAAAAGTGTGTGTACAGTAAGGCTATGATGCCTATCCGAGAAAAGAACCAGAGTATGAAATCTATTCAACAGTAGAGAGGTTTAAGACGTACACTGTACTACAAATAATTTGAAAGTCACTCAAAATACGTAGCACCTCGACTTTACATTGGTACACCGCGAGAGTGTGGTTTTTCCTCGTGGTATTACGGCTGTAGCACGAATTCACGTAAGAACCCGAAATCCTTTTTTTTTACTTGTAACTGGTGATAGTTGTAGATGTCTGTGAGTCACAGCGTTTACTTATCAGTAACAAGGCATTTCATCTTATATCTTAGGGTTGAAAAATGCATCAGCATTTTGATTGTTAATTGGTGACAGATTTAGATGTACGAGTATATTGGCTACAGTGTCCGTTTACTAGTAACGAGGCATATCCTTTTCGTTTTTAAGGGTGGCAATACATATATATTTTGATCCTTAATTGTCGATATATTTCTATACCTTCTACGCATTTTGTAGCTTTGTTTAAAAATTAATGTTCTTAAATTTGAATTACAGTTGACCCGCGGTAATCCACGTGACGTTTTGCAAGGCGGTGTCGGATTATCAAATTTGTCAGACTGTAGAGTACTGTCACAGCCCCCTGGTAATCCGGAACTTTTTGAAAAAGACTTCCTTGTAATCAAAACAAAAAATTAAAAGTCAAGTGATGCATAATGAATATAGTAAATAATGAACAACTGCTAGGCCGCTACCATAGTCACATTCTAGCTAAAACAATTTGCCGGATTACCAGGAATTCGTTGTATACAATTTATAAATGAGGTCTAATAGCTAATAGGCAATAATGCGCCGAACAGATATCATACATTGGGTTTTAGAAAATAGGAACATGCTAATAAGGTAATCGACTTCTTTCAGCGGAGGAGTATGTTGATGGTTTGCTCAGCAAAGAGGCCTATGACCAACCGTCAGACTCAGTTAAGCCAGAGGATTTGGAGATGAAATTGCCAGAATGGTTTGATGAGAAACTATTCAATAGGTGAGAAAATAAATACTTACTTTACTTTGACAACATAATATGGTACTTTTGAATATTATAAACGAAGGATATAATATGATAAATAAATTAAAAAGATATATGGAAAAATAACATTGGATTTACTGACATTCATGATACCGCCGCCATTTTCAAATCATTATGAAAATTAAAAGTAATTAATCGACTTACAAAAGATACATTACAATATAGTAGTTGCAAGTGCCCTGTGCTAGGTTGGCGACCTGTATCACTAGGTACCCCGCTCATCCACCAAGACAATACAATGTTATTTTTAGGGTTCCGTACCTCAAAAGGAAAAAACGGAACCCTTATAGGATCACTTTGTTGTCCGTCTGTATGTCTGTCTGTCTGTCTGTCAAGACCCTTTTTCTCAGGAACGCGTGGAGGTATCAAGCTAAAATTCATATCAAATACTTAAGTCTACTGCCCCTTGGAGCTGTGAAAAAAATCAAACTTCTATGCCAACGCAACCAAAAGATACAGGCGTTTATGCCGCAAATTTTCGACATTCGCAAGGGAATCAAAACCTACAGGGTACTTCCCGTGAACTCAGAATCATAAAATTTGGTACGAAGCAACGTATTATAGCACAGATAAGGCAAAAATTGCAAAAAGCATAAATTTTTAGTTACATCATATAATAAAAATATTTTTAATAATTTTAAACTTATATACCTACGGATTTGTTCGGAACCCTCGGTGCGCGAATCCGACTCGCACTTGGCCGGTTTTTTTTATAAAACTGAAGTAACAAACGAACTTACAAGCTACCTGATGGTAAGTGATTACTGCAGTACATGCATGCAGGTAACCGCAGTCCACTTCAAACAAAAAAGGCTACAGATGCGTTGTCATCTTTGAGGACTAAGATGGAATGCCTCCCAGCCTATGATTATACTGACTTTCTATACTCTTTAGACTGGAACAAGCAGACAGCAGAAACAGATAGATGGTGGAACTTACCCATCCCCAGGATTCCTACTTTAACGACCCGATGACATCCTCCTCTCTTTCTCTTCTCCTCTCCTTCTCTTCTACTCTTCTTCTTTTTCTTAATAGAGCCGATTTTAGTTTACACAAAATATTAATAATACAACTAACAATATTATGATTATGTGTGAAGGTACTCTGAGATTTCGTATTCATAGTTTTTGAAATATCTTCTTTCAGAGGTCGAAAATTTTACTGGCAATATTGCTTTGGCTTAGCAGGTGTATTGTCGCCTGGTATCATTGCGGTGTTTGCTGTACCCACTATACTTGAAGTTCTGGTCGGTTCACGGAGGTCCAGTTCCAAGTACACTGCGTTCAAGCGCTACATGTCCACATCCTTGCATCATTCGTCGTGGTTTAGATACGAACTTAAGCCTGGCACTTTGTAAGATGTTTTTTTTATTTTTTCATTAGGGACGAAAAGTACTTCGAGTAAGTAATTCGAGTGTGCTGAAAAAGCATTCAATGAAGGAAACACAAAAATGAGTTAAAACTTAACGCGTCACAATCCGTTTACTAAATATCCATAACTCCAAATCATCTCCTGACTGCATTCCTGATAAAAACTAGAAAATAAACTGCGGCCAACCCGCCTGCACTGTGGAATTTAACTGGCTGTGGTGGATGAATGAATGAAATAATCCCAGAGCATTATCTTATATCCTTGTTCCATCTCATCAAGAGGCAAGGTTAACATCATTAATGTAATAAATTAATAATAATTAATGAAAGTTGATAAGAAGATAAGTGAAAGATATTGAGATAAGTAAATACGATATTTATTTTCAATAATAAAGATGTATAAATCTGTTATCTAACGTGTTATATTTGATAACTAAATTATTTTTTTAAAGAGGTATAGATGTTAAGGTATAGGAAGTAGAATATTATTAATAATATATTATATGGAAAGTTTTCTGCATTAACATGGGCACTATAAACATTTAGACCATCTAAATCAATTATTTTCTCTTTTGGAAAATTTCGAAGTCTTCCAGATCCACAACATTTTCTACCGACTTCAAAAAGGAGACGGTACTCAATTCGACTGTATGTTTTTTTTCTTATGTGTGTTACCTCATAACTTTTTTCTGGGTGAACCGAGTTCGATGATTCTTTTTTTTTATTTGAAAGCTGGTGCTTGTCATTTGGTCCCATATAAATTTGATCAAAGTCTGACCAGTAGTTTTTAAGTTTTTTCTTAATAATTTATATTGAAGTCGGTTGTACAAAATTTTAATTTTTAATTATTAATAATACTTTTGACGTGAATACGTCGTTAAATGTTGATTCAATAGTAGGAGGAAACTCATAAAACTGATGATAACAAAATTGGGGGATACAGCTTAGTGTTGCAGCTGCATATCTAACACCCAAATCCAAAATTTAATTATATCACCCGATAGCTAAAAGATGAAAGAGTTGGTTACTTTGTGTGAGGACTGGGACGCATCGCGCGTGGCGTAGGGGGTAGCGCCGCCATTTTGGGGTAGTTTCATTACGTAAGTACACGTATTCACGTAAAACACGGCCGTGTCGACACACAGCCACAACCCGATTTATTTCAGTATCACATGTTTTACGAGATAAAATCAATAAGTTAAACTTATGCACTTCATCTTTTAAAGATAATTTACGAGGTAACTGGACTCAAAAAAATTTAAAGTGCCAGGTTTTGCATTGCATTCTAGACTGTCTCTGTTTAAAATATTCTTAAAATTGTAGTTTCTTTTAGAATTAGTAGAAAATATTTAAAAATAACGCATTTGATTTGGCACATATTTTTTCTTTGCAAGGTCCATATTCTTAACACCATTGATGTTTGTAAACAGACCGTCATTATTTTACAAAATGGGTTAGTTCTTGGCCGAAGTAGGTAATTTTCTTATTTTAATAAAATATTAAAAAGTTGTTTTGTTTTTCTTTAAAATTTATGAAATATCTGTGCTAATTTCTCTAATACCTACTTTTTTATTTTCTAACTTACTCGTTTAAATTTATTTATAGCGCCCCATCTAAATATATATGATATGTTATCACAAAAAAGTAGCAAAAAAGTGAGGAAGCGTACAACATCACAGATTTGCATAACTGTGACATGTGGTATCCACGTTATAGCGGAAAACTAACTTAAATATAATTTTTTGTCCTAAATTGGTTTATTAATTTGATAGCTTTTTTTGAATAAAACGTAACCCCTAACAAAAGGAATTTTTTTCTCCTGTATCGTGGAGGCGATTACGCACACATATTGCATACAGACACAGAACAATTATTTGTAGGCAAGGCAAGCATCTGTTCCGTTTGAGATTTGAACCCGCAGACTCGTAACGTAGCTGCTAAATGCTTAGCCGATTTGCGGTACTCGTAGCTAATATTGAATATGCTTATAACATTTTATAGATCATGGAAGTCCCTCTACACTGTACGTTCTCGTCACCTGACGGCTGGACGCGCGGCTCGTCTGAAGAAGCAGGGGACTATATCTCAACGTGATCTCGCTCTGACGCAGTTCGGCTTTATCGGCTTCGTTGTGCTTAAACCAGATAATTTTGGTGTGAGACAACTAGAAGATGGTGACTGGGACGCATATAACTATTTCTGGAGGGTTATAGGCTACATGATTGGATTAGAGGACAGGTAATATTTCTTTTTTTTTATCGGCCGCAAAGGTCTACGGCTGGACATTGGCTTCTCGCGAGTATTTTATCTGAGTGAGTTTTTGTCAAATATCGTCACGCTTGGGAAGCGAATTCGAAATCCCAGATGTCTTGTAGCTATGACTCTGTTGCCCCTCGCCCGTCTGACGAAAACGAGGTGATTATACCGCCGTTAATTGAAAATCATAAGATATTTGTGGCATATCCCAAAGGGAATTCTCACGGCAATACATCCAGTTATCATCAATAAATGTACATGAGTTTAACATTTATATAAAATTGTTATTTTTTAAAATTTCTGTTGAACAAAAACGTTTCGATTTTACAAAGTATTTTTAACTTAAAACTCGTCAAACTGAATATAAAGTTTTTTTTTATAGGATAGGGTGACAAACGAGCACACAGTCCACCTGATGGTAAGTGGTTGCTGTGGCCCGTAGACGTCTGCAACTATCCTCGTTTGCGAATTAAAATAAAGATGTGTTGTCACCCGTGAGGACTAAGATGGAATGCCTCTTTTCCAGTAGAGAGTCCCCGGTTCTCTACACTCACCTTACGAAACACAGCAGCCTTAAGCTGCTATTTCACGCTGGTATTCTATGAGAGCGTGGTCCTTCCCCGATCGAGCCGACCCACTCGTGCTACAACTATACTACTAATATAGTGCAGCATTGCTCTACCAATTAATTTTATAATATAACCTCGGTATGTATTTACTTGTTTTTGTTTGTTAAGAATTACACGCAGTAGGTTCTTTTAATATTTGTTCTTAATTTACTGTTATACTCTTTTTTATATAAAATTATTGATTGAAATTTTTCCACTGCAGTATGTGACTTTATCATGCACTAGCAATACATTACACTTTTTAAATATCTTCTTTGCTATCGTTCTTACTTTGCTATTACGTTTAATATATTAATTTTTTTTATTGACATTGCTGTTAAGGTACAACTTATGTCGAAGGAACATGGACGAAACCCGAAAAGTATGCCAAATTATCTTGGACCACGTCTTCACACCATGTCTCGAAAACGTGCCCGAGTACTTTGAGCACATGTCACGGGTGATGATTGACGGTATGTGGGCCGTGAACCCGGCAATGGAGACAGGCAGCCTGTTATACTCTACTAAGAATTTAGCTAATGTTCCTGGTTACGTTTGGACGGAATCGGAGAGAGTGGCGCTTCAAGCGCGTTTGAGGAAGCAGCTTAATGGAAAACATGACAACATTGGTAATTTATCTTTTTGGTTATCACTGTACAATTTTTAAGCAGTTGCATACTATCGTGGGTGTAATAAGAGTTGTCAATCTTACGAATCTATAGTAATATAATATAGTAGAATATTTTTATTATGCTGGAAAAAAGAAAACCATCTAAAGAGACCCATCGGAACTTTTAAATAAAAATTATAACATTAATGTCAATTATTATAAAAACAGCTTGGTGGCGATGGCCACCTTCCCAAAATTATTTTCATTCATAAACCGCTTGTTGAACAAACATTTTTGACTTGTTGATTAACAAGGATTAAATATTTTTCTGGTGGCCAGAATCATGTCATAATAGGTCTGGGAAAAAGTTTCTTCGTATTTTGTTTGTAATTGAAGAAATATATTGTTTGTACTGTTTGCATGTGGCGGCCCCCTCAGATTTTCACCTGTTTCGGTCTCTTCAGAATTCTTTGGTAAGCGTTAGAGAGTACTGTCAAAACTACTTGTTGCATTTTTTTGATCAAAAATCACAAGATTTTGCTCTAAAACAACGGGATTATGTCACTACCTACAAGATGGCAACAAGTTGTGAAACAAAAAGACACATATATGTTATAATTAAATGTAATTAAAATTTGAAAAAAGATGTGTTGAATTTGTGTATAAAATACGAAAAAACTTTTTCCTCGACCTAATATGTTAAATCAGATGTTTATATATATAGGATATGGGTGACATACGAGCACACAGTCCACCTGATGGTAAGTGGTTGCTGCGGCCCATAAACATCTACATCTATCCTCTGTTACAAATCAAAATGTAGATGCGTTGTCATCCGTGAGGACTAAGATGGAATGCCTCATTTCCAGTAAAAAGGGCCTCCAGCCACCTGCACTCACCAAGCGAAACGCAGAGGTAAACCTCTACTTCACGCTGGTTTTCTGTGAGGTCGTGGTACCACCCCGGCAAACATATTTATTATCAAATACAATTACAAAACTGTTTAGGCAAGAATTTTACCTTCGAAACGTATTATTTAACGCGCGCCTCGATATCGAGGTCACCTTCCCCTCCCCCGGCCGCCGCAACGAGGCGGGATCGTACTTCTCGAGATTCATTGTAGAATTTCTTGCGAGCTATACTGACGTTTTCCGCGCCTAACTTGTTACGAAAGTATCAACCCGCGTAAATCGTTGTGAGAACCGTATCGTTCATTAGGACCTACTAACTCTGTTAAATTAATTGTGCAACTATAATAGTCATTTACCTCTGAAGTACTACGTGTAGCTGTCCCATTTCGTGACAAACCAGGAAGAGCGCCTCCAGAGGGGAAAGTTCTGAGGATACCAGCGCATACCTTCTCCCGGACGGCATTGCGTCATCCAAATCAGGCCGTCAACATACATGCACATACAATTACACATACACTCACGACACTGTCATCAGCCGGGCCGGTCTAGGAGAATCGTCTCCGCTCCTGGAGCAGGTGAGTGCCTTTATCGTAGTGACCTTTCCCCTCGTTTGTTTCTATTAGAAATTTCCACTTTGGCCAAAAGCCCGATCTGTATCTGCCTGTAGGATCTTCCTACTATGGGCCTAGGTGGATACTACCATTAGCTAGGCAGCTGCAGGCCGTAACATTTGGTAGCAGAGCGTGGTTGATTGTGTCTACAATCACGCCCGGCCGTAATACGTAAAATTAATATAAATAATAATTCTTTCTTGTTGCATAGTGGCTCGCCTTTTCTCTGTTGTTAGGAGGTAGTTCACTAACGCCACGCCCGTAGGTAACAAGCGAGAATTGTTGAGGCGAAGTATTTGATTAGATACATAAGGCTGTCACGTAATGGGATAATTGTTAATCGTACTAGGGTTGTTACGTGCTAATTTGATTTGCGTTTTTTCGTATTTACTTGTATTTAATTGTGTAATTTCTATCTAAACTGATTGATATTATCGTATTAGTAGTACTGTATTCGTTATTTCTGTTATTTTGTTATTGTATTTAGTAATTATTCGTTATTTCTGTTATTTTGTTATTGTATTGTATTTAGTATGCCGTCACATAAGCTACTAATTCGTTGCTTGCGGACTGAGCTGCGCTGGGCTACCAGCGCACACGCGTTGATAGGCCGACCGGACAGGGTCTATAATCTGAGGAAGAGGCTCGAGCAGGTCGATGCTCGAAGGGCTGCCGTGGAGGAGGCTTACTCTGAGCTCGAGGACTCGGAGGTGGAAAAGGGAGTCCTGGACTCCTGCCGCGCGGACTTCGAGCAGTTCCTCGCGCTAACGGACGACCTGATCGAGGCGGGGGCCAAGGACGCGGAGAGGGAGCGCGAAGCTCGGCTGAGTAGCCTTCTCGAGTCCCCGCGGAAGCCGCCTACTCAGCCAGAGCTGCTAGGACGACTCCCCACGCTGGACCTGCCAAGGTTCTCCGGGGTCCTCTCGGAGTGGCTGACCTTCGTCATGTTTGACAGCCTGGTGGACGCCCGGAGGGACCTGACCCCCTGCCAAAAAATGGGGTACCTCCTGGCATCACTGGAGGGGGAGGCCCTGGGCGTCGTCGGCCACCTTAAGTTGTCGGACGACGCCTACCAAAACGCCAGGGACCTCCTCGCTGGAAGGTACGCCAACGTCCGGCGGATTGCGGACGATCATGTTTGGAGGGTGCTGAACCTCCCGCTGCTGAAGGACCGGACTAGACTACGTGAAAAGATAGTGAATCCAGTCGTCGTAGCGTGCAACTCGTTGCGGCGGCTGGATTTACCTGTGGACGAGTGGTCTTTTCTGCTCCTTCATATAGTGCTGCAGCCTCTCGCTGCCCCTCGACCTTCGGCTCCATTTTGAGGAGACCTGCTGCGGTTCCTGGAGAAGCAGTGTAGGCAGCTGGAGAACGCTGCAGGCGCCGTCGAGGGCCCCCCGGCCGCCTCCCGAGCAGTGCCCAGGAAGAGGCGGAATCGGCCGGCCAAGGCGGCGTCCACCCCCCTGAGGCCGAGCGGAGCCCCCGCGGGAGGGCGCCCCCCAGTACCCTCCTATAGTGGCCTAGCGACCCGGGATGCGCCTCCCTGCTCCTATTGTCGAGCATCCGACCACCGGGCGGCGTCGTGCCCGAAGTTGTTGCGCAAGCCGGCTACGGCGAGGCGAACCATCGCCAGGGAGCGCCGCTGGTGCTTCTCGTGCCTGGAGAGGCATTTACAACGAGACTGCCCGCACCAGCGGCCCTGCACGCACTGCCAGGGCAACCACCACGTCATATTGTGCCTGGGTGCGCGCGGCTCGTCCTCTCAGGGCCCTGCCAGCCCCCCGACTCCCACGGGTGGGGGCGCCCAGCCACGCCCACTGTCGGGCGACGCTCGGCGCTCACCGGTGGACCACAGCGCCCCTCGTTCTGAGGGGAGTCCCTCCCCCGATCGGTCTGGGAGTCGTTCCCCCACTCACTCGCTGAGGGGGGGTCTTCACCCCCCCTCAGCGAGTGATAGTGGATTCGCAGCCAATCAGCGGTCAGCTAGACCATTCTCACCCCCGTTGGCTGAGTGGCCGCGACTGGAACGCCGCCCGCCCCCCTTTGGTCGGTGCCGGTACTACCGGGTTCCGGAGACTGCGTATCGGCCCCGGGCCTTGGAGCCGAGGATCCCCGAGTTCGCCAGGTCGGCCCGTTCGGGGAATTCCAGTCAAGGGTCATCGAGACCACCCACTGTGGTGGGGTCCCGGTTGGTTATCTGGGTCTCAGTCATTCTGGCCCCCGGGCAATTACTCCGAACCTACCGAATTGCCGGGCCTGCGAGCCCGAGTAGGAGTGGGCAAGGATAAGCCCACTCGGGATCTCTCTCTTCTGGAACGGTACAGCTCCCTCGATAAGCTCTTGGGAGGTACTGCTTGGTTGCGCCGCTTTGTCCGCAATTCGAGATACCCATCCCACCGACTCTCTGATAGCGTTTTGTCCCCAAGCGAGCGCCGGGAAGCTTTGATGCACTGGACCCGTATGGTCCAAACGGAGCAATTTGAACCCGTCATTGAAAACTTGAAGCGTGGCTTTGTTATCAAGGGCGCCCTGGTCCGCCTGAACCTCTTTCTGGATAACGCGGGGATGCTGCGCGTTGGCGGACGTTTAAAAAATTCTCAACTGCCGTACGGGGCTCGACACCCGTTGCTGCTCCCTAAGGACGGCGCCCTGGTCCGATTGCTGGTAGCCCACCACCATGTTAAGAATGCCCACGCTGGGTGCAACGCTCTTTCGGCTATTTTACAGCGGGAGTTTTGGATTTTGGCTGGCCGACGTATCATCCGGAGCGTCATCTTTAATTGCATATCCTGTTATAAACTGAAGGCCACCATATCGCAGCCCCTCATGGGTGACTTGCCGCCCGACCCTGTCAGGGCCATCCGACCATTTGCTGGAGTCGGAACCGACTTTGCTGGCCCCTTCCTCGTCAAGTCCTCTAACCTTCGTAACGCCCGTTCGCATAAGGCCTATCTTTGCGTCTTCGTGTGCCTCTCCACTAAAGCCGTTCACTTGGAACTTGTAAGCGACCTCAGCACGGAAGCCTTCTTGGCCACGCTTGGCCGTTTCGTATCGCGGCGCGGGTTGTCGGACTTGATCCGGTCGGATTGCGGAACGAATTATAAGGGCACAGATAGGTATCTAAAGGAGGTCGTCGAGTTTCTGTCCAGCAACCGGACTTATTTAGGCAATGCTATGTCAAAAAGGGGCATCCAGTGGAAATTTGACCCTCCGGCGTGTCCCCACTGGGGCGGTATTTTAGAGGCGGTGGTTAAAGTGGCAAAAACGCATCTCCGTCGCGTTATTGGTGAAGCTATTTTGACATTTGAGGAGCTCGCCACTGTATTCTGTAAAATTGAGGCGGTACTCAACTCTCGGCCCCTCTGTCCCCTCTCCTCCGACCCGAATGATTTGGAAGTTCTAACCCCGGGACACTTCCTGATTGGCCAGCCTCTTAACGCTCTGCCCGAGTACCCCTTCAGGGAAACGAGCGCTTCACGGCTTAGCAGGTTTGCCCT